GAGACGGGCTTATACGCTAGTACGATAATATGCTGAACGATTTAGTAGGTACAAGGTTATGAGTGATCTCCATTTGATGCCAGATGCAGAGTTATGATTCGATAATCAATAGTATAAATCATGCACACTTATCATTGAAATGTATTCTTAAAGTGGTCCAAACTATCCTATAACAGAGTTTGCAAAAGTGTCTGTAAATATGATAACAATAAAAATTGATAGAATATATATACATAAACAAACCATAAACAATAGCTGGGATTTGATGTTTCTAGTAACAAGAGAAGGAGAACGGAAGTATAAAACTGTTTACACATGTCAAAATTAGTTACTAAGAGGGATGCTTAATCGCAATGTTTCTCATCAGCGTGCTTAAACATTATTTGAAAAGTTTCCTTGAAAGGGTACAATGGTCCAAAATAGGTCAAAAAGTCCACGAGAATGTCCAAAGCCTCTTTAGAGGCTTTGGAAGCCTCGTCGTAGTCGAGCTTTCCTGTCAGTTGTAGTGTAAGCCTTGATGCGGTTATACTGCGACCAAGGAGTAATTTTCTGTTTAACGGTGAATAATTGAAAAAGACAAACCTATATACCTGCATGAGTGTGGTCAAGACGTTGTCCGTTATTGATTCATTCACGATTGTAATTTGCTGTTCCTTTACTGCTTCACACCACTTGAGGATGCAATAATTCTTTACTACAATAAATTTTTGTTCACATCCGTAATTATATATTGTGGTTGTAGTCGACTTCTAACCATTGAATACGAGGTCAAATCCGCCGTGAAATGCAGCAACGCTCGCCGTCTTAAATCCGTCATTCCTACTCATCTCGACGGGAAGATTAGTAGCCAGCCAGGTTTCATAAGCTCCATTTCTCTAGAAAATAAGTGCATTGTGAGAGAAATATTTGGTTAGGTTAAAGTCTAGATGTGAGTGAAACATACCAGATCATTTAGTCCAACTTGGTTATCCGCTGCAGCCTCGAGTACCCCAGTAACCTGGAATTGATGACTTTACATATTCATATTCCACTACACATATATGGATTTGGTACCTCGGTTTGCGTACTATTGTCCTTTATCTCGAGCAAAGGAGTACTCACTCTGAAATCTGCATGGCTTCTATTTTCCTTGATAATAATTAAGGTTTTGATCGATATTTAGTAGAGATTTAGCATTGGTAGGCCATTTTTTAAATTTTGTATATAGGAATGGTACCAATGGATCATCAGATGATGTATTTACTGCAATGTCCGCAACACCAATATTGGAATCCATTGTGGTCTCCATGGATGTCGTTTTGGGGATTGGAGTAGGTTCGACAATCTGCACTTGACAAATTTTCATGTACACGTGTATATTTCTGCATTCTACGTATATTTTTTCTTTTACCACCGTCTGGGTGGATTTGCTTCCAATCAATTCAGTCCGTTGCGCCCCTGCTGGGATCCTGCCTCCAGTCACCGGATCCAACATGGTGTCCAAGTAGGGCATTCCACCTATGATGAAGAGCGCAAAGGAATGTAAAAATATTTTTTATAATGAATGTAATTCGTCCGAGATTCCTGACCTCCTCTTATCCAGTTTGAACGTGTAATGAGGACATGTTCGTCAAAGTAGCAGAGGGATTCGGACTCCACTGACGCAAAGATAAAAGTTGGGAGGTAAATGTCGTGTTGATGAGTGTGCAAAAACTTGTCCATCTTGGAGTTAAATTCACCAAATCCAATGACGTATGCGTCATGGGCTTCCTTCACCTCACTCTTGTTTAAAAGTAATCCACCATGTTTCTAATATAGAATTACTAGCGTATAAGCCCGTCTCCCGCCGGGCGAGAGCTTAATTGATTTTCATGAAAATTGACTGGGATTGTGCATAATTCAACCGAACTAATTTTTTTATTGTATCTATACTATTAGCTGGAAATGTCTACTGGCAAGGCAGTGAAAGTAAATGTTCCGCAATGGAAGTAAAAGAGGCTTCCATTTAACTATAACTTCACTTAACTCACTTCACAAGGTTGGCCAAGACAACCAATATTACTATTAGTAGACAAACCCTCAGGACAACCAACCCTAAAGAACCATCGTCAGACAACCATTCCCAGATAACCACTATCAGACAACCAACTGGAGATGCGTTGTGTCACGTCACTGTACCACTGTACAGAACAGCCCAGCATAACCGTCCCAGTCCCGATCTGGCACAACCAGTCGACCCTGTGCTGTGCGCACAGCACAGCCCAGCACAATCGTCCCAGTCCCGATCTGGCACAACCAGTCGACCCTGTGCTGTACCCACAGCACAGCCCAGCACATTGGTCCCACTGTCGACGTGACACAACTCGTCGACCGTGTGCTGACATCACCCGATGATCTTGTGCAGTGCAAACATGTGCACATTAAACACAAACAGTCTAAGACTCGACATGGCGATCTTGTTTAGTGCAAACATGTGGGCACTGCACGGAACTGCTAGGTATGCATTCCACTGGCTGTTATCTGGGAGTGGTTATCGGACAGTGGTTGTCTGACTGGTTATCTGACAGTGGTTATCTGACTGGTTATCTTGGGGTGGTTATCTTGGAGAGGTTATCTTGGGGCTGTTATCTGGGAGAGGTTTTCTTAGCTTGGTTATCTTGGGGTGCTTATCCGGGAGTGGCTCTCTGGTGGCGGACTAATGGGAATATTTCTCTGGGAGTGGTTATCTGATGTTGATTATCCTGCTTGGTTATTTGGAAGTGGTTGTAAATCAAAAATAATTTTGTTTTAAATTAAAATTTTTGAATTTTCGCGCCATTCGAAACCTAACTTTCTCCACTTTCACTTCCGTTGTGGAAAATTACTTTCATTTCCGTTGCAGACAAACATTTCCAGCTTATAATATAGATTTCACTTCCGTTGTGGAAAATTACTTTCACTTCCGTTGCAGACAAACATTTCCAGCTTATAATATAGATTTCACTTCCGTTGTGGAAAATTACTTTCACTTCCGTTGCAGACAAACATTTCCAGCTTATAATATAGATTGTTAGGTTCCTTTATTAACATCCACCATTACCGGTAAAGGCTTACCTTCAAGAGTCTGTAGCAAGCCCGTGCAAGTTCAACAGTGACATCATTGAGTTGCGAGTTGAGAAAGTAAAATGTCCGATCGTGAAAGATTTTTCTTGATGCCAACTCATCTGCATGATCAGTGTTTTGATCTTTATTTGTACCGTCCTCTTCCGTATCAGAATCATGTTCCACGTTTTCCGTATGGTAGTCATGAAATATGGCCCACTGCCGAAATTCTGAGACACTCGGATGTTCCCGTCGTCTTTTTTCATACTCTTCCCTCAACAGGCCTGTAACGCCTTGAGCCGGAGAGTATAACTGTCCAAAGTATTAAAATATATTTATAAACATAGCTTTGATGAAGATTTGCATTATTTCTCGCACAAACCCGTTTAAACTCGAGGAGCGTTGTATAAAGGTCAATCATGCCGGACTCATCTAATCTCCCAAAAAGAAGCTTGTAGAAAGCCCTAGTGTCCCCTAGTGTTAAACTTGACTTTGGTTGCTAAAAATGAAAAGATGGATCAATCATCAAACATAGTCGTGACATAACAGCGATGACATGGATGACAGAGAGTATTAAAAAACAAAATCAGTGATTGAAAGCAACTAGATTACCTTATTGCCACGCTTGCTCGACATGATAAGAAGGATCGATAGAATGGAAGCAACGAAACAAAATAAATGACGATAGGTTTTGACCGATCCGCCCAAATCGAACAATATTCCGTATCTTGGTAATGTTTTGCACCAGCTAGATATGGCTGAGAATCCGTGTGAGTGATGAGTGTAAAATAAGGATTTGTACTGGTTTACTCAACTGGAACTCGAAAGTAGCAGCCTGTGGCGAGTTGCGTCCATACCCCCTTCATATCTCGATATGTCAACACTGGGGCATCGAAGGGCGTTGAGGGGTAAATACTTGTTATTTATCCATCCCCAGCCAATTTGGCCACGCGTACTTCTTTCTGATCTACGCACATCATATTAAAAACTCTTGGGAAGAATGCCACAGAGGGACAACTTGGCTTTTGTCTTGATCAACACTGTAGGCGTAAATACCACCTCGCTACATCACGCGCTCGCTTCGATCCACCCTAGTAGCATCGTAGGGTTACAACCGCCGGAGCTAAATTTTGCTCGAGGTTGCATACTGGCCATACTAATCAGATAACGCAGAAAATCACAATAAAGCAACCCATACTCTGTGCGCACAGGAATTCCAGATCTGATACTACTCATGGACATTGTGCTGTGCCATCAGTTGCCCAAACATAATATGAGCAAAACAACCCCTACATGGTACGTCGAAACATGTGCACACTAAACACACTGTGTCTAACATGACACGAAGATCTTGTTTAGTGCAAACATGTGCACACTAAACAAGATCACCATGTAGAGTCATGAAGATTTTGTTTAGTGTGCACATATTTGCACTAAACAAGATCTTCATGACCCTACATGGTGATCTTGTTTAGTGCAAACATGTGCATACTAAAAACAAACAGTTGATGAGATGACCCGAAAATCTTGTTTAGTGCAACCATGTGCACACTAAACAATCAGCTTGTGGCGTGACACGACGATCTGGTTCAGTGCAAACATGTGCACACTGCCCAAACTGTGTGTGTGCTGATGTGACACCAACGATCAAATAAAGTGCAAATTAAACTAAATGCAAAGTTAAAAAAATCACACCTCGTCGCCATCGTCGTCGTCATCGTAGTCGCCCCTATGCACCCCTACATTCATGTCCCTCTTGTCCCAGCACATGCGAACAATACAAAATTTAACCTCTGTCCATTCCCTCATTTTTCGGTACCTGGACAGAGTAAGAGTGTTAAATTTGGTAATGAGATTGTGTCATCAGGATGGTGGCTACTACCATTGACGTATAATAAAACTGAACTAGATAATAATACAGAATACTAGAGTTGGGTGAAATGGCGGGTAGGCAAATTTGGAGTTTTAGCGAGACACAGGCTTTGACAAAGGAGCTGCTCAATCAGGGGCGACTCTTTGCACCCACAGGTGAGATTGACATTGGCCCCTTTGCCAACAACAAGGTAAAACGCACTCAAACATGTATATATTTTACTATTGTGATACAATTGTTTAATTCAATTTTTGTAGTTTTTGTCAAACCGATCCCCGATCCAAATAAAGAAAAAAATTACAACATTGCGGGAGAACCCTCTAATGTGGTCCAGATATATGACATTGGATCAACTATTGTCGGTAAAGCACAATGAAACCAGACCGTATTTGATTCTACGATCCATCCTGACGGCAAGAGTCGAGCGGGAGAGAGTAGGATTAACCACGAGGAAGCAGCTACCTCCTGCTCCTCCTCCTCCGCCGCCGCCGCCGCCGCCGCCGCCGCCGCAGGCGATTAAACCAATTAGATTAGATCATGGGAGCAGCCCCCTCCAGCACAACTTGGATTCAAGGCCTCTCAGCCGGGGGAACATCACAACACAGAAATGGACAAGAAAGGAGACACAGAGTTTGACAAACGAGCTGTCTAGATTGGGACTCTTGTATGCAGAAATGAACAAGATTGATTTTGCCACATTGTCACAAATTCAGGTAGAAAAAGAAATCCAGAATAATACGTACGATTATTAAGGTTAATAATAATAATAAAGGTAATAATGATAAATTAGGGGTTAGAAGCAAGAACAATCACTCAAATCAAGACAAAGCTTCGTGCCCTGAGGTGCAATCCTTCACAATGGGCAAAATTTTTGACCCTTGGGCAATTTTTAAAGGGTGGTAGAAGCAGTTTTGACTACCGAGTACAATTCCGTGAACTGTGCGCCATTTTAACGGGACGCGAAAAAAAACAAATACCAGTTGTGACACTGTCCGATGATGACGATGACAAAGACGAGGATGGTGCCGAATCATTAGTCAGACCAATACTAGTTAAAGCTCCAGAGACAAATCATGTGACGGAAGAGTACAGCAAATCAACATCAGAGGACCCAGAAATTCCTTTTGCTGACCGAGAGCAAGGCTTAGATGATTGCGAAGACCCCCTGGATAAAGCGCTTGAATACGTATCCAAGTTTCAAGGGTGGTCTAGGGTGGATAATATTGGAGAATTTTTTAAAACATGTGCTAGAAAGGTTGGATAACTAACCTATAACATATATAACCAAGCAATGATTGACTCTTTTCTGTTTTTGCACAAACACACAACAGTACAATTGTGATGCCCAGCAGCTTGGATTAATTTGTACTACATACGAAGGCGACCGCCACCGACAGGTGTCCACACAGGATCGGTTGTTTACACGGCCTCTACCCTCAGCGTCGTCATCATCATCAGACGGATGCGAGAAGCAGCCGGATGCCCTGAAATTCGCCAGGCTAGACCCAACCTTTCGAGACACTGACCAGAACTGGAAACGATTAATGGACAGTGTAAGTTGTTCCATTTTGATCAGTTAGCCAAAACTTGAAACTTGCAAAGTACGTTTTTTTTTGGTTTGTTTATAGGACGGCTGGGACATGGACGTTATTGGGTTCAAACATATTGTCAAGACGACCCGTGTGCACAAGTCAAACAATCTGGATCCAAATAAACAGATACAACCGGAGCGAAATGTTGCAATCCACCACCCCACAACCATTGTCCCTCTCCCGCTAAACCGCCAACAGCAGCAGCAACCGGACAAGAGTAGAAGCAACATTCAGACTACCGTGCGTGGAGAACCAATAGGGAGGGGTATGACAATCACCGCCGCCCTACAAGCCACTATCGTGAATCGTGATCTTCAACAGCAACAACAACAACAACGACTCGAACCACCGAGTGCTCCTAGTATCAATAAAGCCCTGTCACCCACAACCTTGGATGTCATGATGAACGGCACTCTAGAGGAGCAAGCTAATGACAACATGGCCAATAATCTTGAATTGGACAAGTGGGTAAATCAAGAGTTTGAGCCACGCAAACTGCCGAGCCCGATGGACGGCAATTACCATCCTCACACTGTGACTGAAAAGGAGCATAGAGACCTCATGACCTGCTTTAGGGGGTTGACGGACAGGGAGTGGGAAAAAATGCTTGGTATCATTGTGCAGTTGGATTTAGGACCAGAGTTGTTAGAGGACTCTACATGGGATAAAATTGTTTTAAAGGCTCAGGTACGTCCTCTCAAATCTTTAGTGGTGTAGGTTTTACTAGTCGCATCACATATAGAGACCAAAACACGTTTAATCCTTTATTTAGATCATTACGTCTCGAAAGCCCAAGCAGTTGAGAACCACGTTTCTAAACGATATCGTCCCAAATCTGGCCAGCAGATTTAATTTTCACGAGGAATCTGTGCGGTATCTGAAGCGATTCGGGCGTCCCACCTTCCGGATAGTAAACCCCTTCATTGGCATCAAATTGCTCAGATCAATTTATAAACTCTTGTCCCTTGCCCAAGTAAACAAACTGTTTCAGAAACAATTTGGCATAGTCCTGCTCAAGACGGATAACTTGACCAACTGGGAAGACTGGGAGCGCGAGTTTTTTTACTCTATACACCGGCCCGAGTTTACGGAAATGATGGACCAAGAACACGTATCTCACGCACTAACAATTATGGACGCATTAAATTATAACCTGGCGGCCTTCAGGTTTTTGTTTTCTGAAACCAAAACCAATGATTTGCAACGAGCCGCACTTGCATCAAGTTGTGTCGAGTACTTGAAACTCTTGTCAAAAAAGAGTGAGCAGTTGGTAAGAGTAATTTAAGAATGCCTTGCTAATCTTCTATCTTCTATATTATAAGCTGGAAATGTTTGTCTGCAACGGAAGTGAAAGTAATTTTCCACAACGGAAGTGAAAGTGGAGAAAGTTAAGTTTCGAATGGCGCGCGAAAATTCAAAAATTTTAATTTAATACAAAATTATTGTTCATTTACGACAACTAAATAACAATACAAGATAATCTCCATCAGATAATCACTATCTGAAAACCCGCAGATAATCCATGATAACCACTCTCAGATGACAGCCAGTGCAGTGCATACCGATACCGCTGCACCAACAGTTTCCTGCAGTGTGCACATGTTTGCACTGCACAAGATTGCCGTGTCATGTCATAAACTGTTTATGGTTGTCTGATGGTAGTTATCTTTGGGGGGCTTATCTCTGAGTGATTGTCTGATGGTGGTTATCTGCGAGTGGTTGTCTGATGGGAGTTATCTGATGGTGGTTATCTGGGAATGGTTGCCTGATGGTAGTAATCTTTTTTTTTTTTTTTGGGGGGGGGTTATCTCGGAGTGGTTGTCTGATGGTGGTTATCTTGGGGATTAGAGGGGGTTGCTTATCTTCGAGTGGTTGTCAGAAACTTGACTGTCTTTACTTTCACTTCCGTTGCGGAACATTTGCTTTTATTTCGTTGCCGGCAGACATTTGCAGCTTATAATTCTCGCTCGCCCGACGGGAGACGGGCTTATAAGCTAGTGAGTTTATATTTCTTTTTACATTTTATTGTTTAGATTTACAATATTATTTAGCCCTTAATCATTTTTTTTGCGTGCCAATCTAACCAACAAAACCTAAAACAACTCTAATTTAGGTTTCCACCACCACCACCACTTTTGCTGACAATGATCCCGAAATTCTTTTTGCCAGTGTTGATGCTTTACCAGAGGATTGGGTTCTGGGGTGGTTGTCTGATGTTGATTATATGTGAGTGGTTGTCTGTCGAGGTTATCTCGTGTGGTTATTTGGGGGTGGTTATAAGCCAAAAATAATTTTGTTTTAAATTAAAATTTTTGAATTTTCGCGCCATTCGAAATTTGACTTTCTCCACTTTCACTTCCGTTGAGGACAAATTCCTTGGACAGACATTTCCAGCTTATAATATAGATGTTATCACAATTTATTGGTACACTAACCTAGATGAACTTTATCAATTTCAAAAAAACACTTGCCAACGCTCGTGATGAGAGCTTTGTATCCAGCCAATCTGCTGACAGGTTTACAAACACCGGGGAGATTTAGGGCAACGATAAGTAAGGATGACATGAGACGAGTAGGCTATACTTGGTGACTGACTATATCAACATCGGGGCGACTAGGGGTGACTTTGAGCGAGGTGGAGCAGCTAGTTTAACAAAGTACATCATGTGCGGAATCCTGAGCGTTCGCGGATCGCCATGTATGAATAGTGGCAACGGGGTGTGAGTTGAACTTTGTAGTTAGCTCAGATTTGAACCAAACTTCTACCGCCGATGAACCCCTCCGCAGGCAATGTTTGTGCAGTGAGCACATGGTTGCACTAAACAAGATTTTTGGGCATCTCATCAACTGTTTGTGTTTAGTGTGCACATGTTTGCACTAAACAAGATTGACGTTTCGAGTCGTGAGCTGTTTGTTTAGTGTGCACATGTTTGCACTAAACATGATCGTCGAGTCATGTCTCAAACTGTTTGTTTAGTGTGCACATGTTTGCACTAAACATGATCGTCGAGTCATGTCTCAAACTGTTTGTTTAGTGTGCACATGTTTGCACTAAACATGATCGTCGAGTCATGTCTCAAACTGTTTGTTTAGTGTGCACATGTTTGCACTAAACAAGATTGGCGTGTCGAGTCGTGAACTGTTTGTTTAGTGTGCACATGTTTGCACTAAACAAGATTGGCGTGTCGAGTCGTGAACTGTTTGTTTAGTGTGCACATGTTTGCACTAAACAAGATTGGCGTGTCGAGTCGTGAACTGTTTGTTTAGTGTGCACATGTTTGCACTAAACAAGATTGGCGTGTCGAGTCGTGAACTGTTTGTTTAGTGTGCACATGTTTGCACTAAACAAGATTGGCGTGTCGAGTCGTGAACTGTTTGTTTAGTGTGCACATGTTTGCACTAAACAAGATTGGCGTGTCGAGTCGTGAACTGTTTGTTTAGTGTGCACATGTTTGCACTAAACAAGATTGGCGTGTCGAGTCGTGAACTGTTTGTTTAGTGTGCACATGTTTGCACTAAACAAGATTACACAATGGTACAATGATCCTGGTCGTTCTCTTGCTGCATTGATTTGATCAATGAGGAATACCACGTATCGGTACAGGATAATTTATCAGGCGCTCCATTACGGAACGCTTCAAAGGTAATGTACCTCGGGAGTAATGTAGGGGAATGGTTAATGGATATTTATGTTACGCCCCGTGCCGCAGTAGATTAGAACCAGAACCAGCTCAGGAAAGAGTTTCAAGCGCCCCGTTGCGCCCATCTACGCCCCAGAGTTAAGGTACTAAGGGAGCGAGGACGAGGATCAAGTACATGAAAATTTACCACATGCTCAATCAGCCAGACTTTAATCTTTGAATCAGCATGGCCATTCGCCAAATTGACGTGCCGCGGTTTAAAAAGTATATTTGTAAGGGAGGTGAGCAGTTTTATTTTGTGGGCAATATAATAAATAGTCGGGTGCTACATATACTAATGGAATTTTTTCGCTTTGCAGTTCCCAAGGAATGGGATACACCACATGCGGGGGGATTAACGGAATCAACCTCTCTATCATATATTAAGGGCCCGGAGATGACCTATTCTCCAAGAATTTTGTCGACGACGGGAGATCTTACGAAGCAGCTGGAAACTCTTGGCGGCAATGCTCCATTATCTGGTCCACTGGTCGAGTTCCTTATACGGTGCTGTCAGCGGATGAGCGAACCAATGGTGAATGGTTTTCAGCCGGGATTTTTATTGGGTAATTTTCACTAATTGGAAGATTATGACAAAAAAATCCACACCACTTTTCATCTTTATTTGTCATAAACTACAAACAGGTGATGGAACAGGGGTTGGAAAAACTCGCGAGATTGCTGCATTGTTCTGGGAGCTTTACGTTGGCATGAAAGTCAAAAAGGCTGTTTGGCTCTCAACTTCGTCCGAGTTATCCTACGGGGCAATCCAGGAATTGGACTTTATAGCCAAGCTTATCGGGACTCGCACCACGCTTTATGTACGTGTAAAAGGAAAAATCCTAGAGTTCCAGATTGGCAATTCAGATGATAATCATGACGAAAATGATGATGATACGGAAGAAGAAGAGGAGGAACAGGAGGAGGAGGAGGAGGAGGACAGTCAGGATGGGGTCGAGTTTAATGATGCTGACGGGGGTATACTATTTGCAACCTATTCCTCAATGGCCAACCCCGACATTGATGACTTTCTGGTAGACAATGATTTTGATGGACTTGTGAGTGGTCAAACTATAATCAGAATACTTGAAAGAAAAAAAAAATGTAAAACAAGATTCATTTGTTCAATGCTATAGATCATACTCGACGAATGTCATTTGGCCAAAGGATACGACACTGGGAGGACAACCATGGTTAATGGTCGTCGAAGGAAAGGGTCCGTAACGGGCAGAAACGTTGCCAACATGCAAATTCGCTACCCACGGGCAAAAATTTTGTACGCATCCGCAACCGTTGGGACAGAGCCTTGTCATTAGAAGTACATGTCGAGGTTGTCGCTGTGGGGAGAGGGATGTCTCTTCAACCCAATGTCCGAGTTTAATAAAATAGTTGTCAAGTCGTGTGGAGTATCCGTCACTGAGTTTCTCATGATTTATCTCAAGTCGCGGGGCCGGTTCATTGCAAGACCTTTACCACCGGTGCTGGACTGGAAGGTGATTATTCGAGACATTACAGACCAGGACAAACTACTGTACAACGACTGTGTCGAGATGGTATGGCTATTTGATATTTAATTAAAATCACTACCAGCATCTATTAGACTTTTGTAAAATTTAAACTTTATTTTTAGTGGCAAGCCATCCTTGCCGTCATGAAGGACAACAGGCAACCAAACATGGATTCAGCATCAAAAAAACTCGCTCGCAAAAATGATGGAAGCTACTGGGGAACTCATCAGAGTTTCTTTTCTGCCTTGCTACTAAGCTTCAGTTTACCCTCATTGGAAGAAATAACTAAAGCCTACCCGCAAGAGGATTGGGCCTATATCATTACTCTTGCCTTTACGGGTCAAAAGGCCCTCTTGAGAGACTATGCATGTGTGGACTCGAAGCTACCTCCCTCTATGACGCGGACAAGATTAAATGATGCACTTGGTCTCGTTGGGTTGCGTTTCCTACCAAGTCTCAAGGGTGCACCATTCAGCCAAGATGATGATTCATCATCCTCCATTATCGCCTCACCCATCACCACCACCACCAGCACTACAACAGCAGATACAGGAGGAGAGTTGCAATGCGCTCAAGACTTATTACACCATCATGAAACTACTACTAGTACGGGCCCTCAAACCAAGATTCCTCGCTTGGATTTCCCAGACTGCCGAAGCAGCAGCAGCAGCAGCAGCAGTAGACAGTCGTCATCGCCTGAAGAAGAAGAAGAAGAAGGATCATTCGTACACGAGTCTGACCAAGGGCAGGTGGATGATCATAGTCTTGAGGCAAGAAGAAATGACCACGACTGGGAGCATGTTCTAACTATGTGTGGGGCTGACGTGCAAATTAAAAAGGGGTTCACAGTTAGTGAGGACCAAATCAGATCCCTAATCTCCATGTATCAAGCTCTGGAGGCTCGTTTGCCCACTACACCAATTGATTACCTATTTGAAATGTTTGGAGGAGAGGAAAATGTAGCCGAAATAACGGGTCGAACGAATCGAGTTGTAGATGGGGAAATTGTTAGTAGGAAAATCGATTGTATCAAACAACAAAAGAGATTCCAGAATCAAGAGTGTAATGTGATCATCCTGTCTGACAAGGGCTCAACTGGCATCAACCTCCACGCCCAGGTGACTGAAGCAAATCTCACCCCAAAGAAAAGGCTTCACATTTGTGCAGAGCTCCCATGGTCGGCAGAGAGAACTACTCAGGGATTCGAGCGGACCCATCGAAGCGGAGAGAAATATCCTCCAAGTTACAAGATCCTAACCACAAATGTTCCCGGACAGTTGCCCTTTGTCGTGAGCATCGTGGAGCGTCTGGCCAAACAAGCTGCGATATCAAGTGGAGATCGGTACGCGGGCGAGGGGATTGACTTGGACACTTGTCTCTCCATCGATGCAAAAGTATCAAATCTGGCGTGCCGTAAGGTGATAAGTGAGTTTGTGGCACGGATAGAGCGCCACGACATGGTTGAATATGCACAGGATGCTTACGCAACAGGACTTGTGACCAAGGGGGACGGCGAGAATGATGGTGGTGGTTTGGGGAAACCAACGGTCGGGAGAAACTCAAAAACCTTGGCAAAAGTATACAACCGTGTGCTTGGAATGAAGATTGACACTCAAAAGTACTTTCACGCCTTATTCACCTGCGCCGCCCAGACCGAGTTGGATCATGCAAAAGAGATTGGTCAATTTGACCATGGTTTGAAACTTGTTAGCTTCTTGTGTAAACTAAAAAGCAACCCCAAGTATGATGTAATCTACCCGCTAAGAAGTGGTCAAGTCAGCCTCTGGACCATACTTGTAGATAGGGGACTCCCATGGAATAAGTTACAACTCGTTGTTAATGACTCTCCTAGTGCTAGTGTCGACTACTACATCAAGGGAGAAAATCAAATTATTTGTGCAATAAAACACAGGAAAAACTCGACAAAGCTTCGATTGTATACTCCTTATAATGTTGAGCATCGTCTAGTTGATGCTGACCATATTCAACGATTCAATTGGAAAAAGCTGGACTGTCCCGTTGAGGCGAAAACATGGTGGAATAGGATCTTGTCAATGACTGCAAAGCTAAACACTTGCCACCACAAAATGCTTGACATCGAGTCCCCCCTTTGTTCGTCCAAATGTGAGGGTGGAGTTCGATGCGCTATTCGACATGTCATTGTGGGAGATGTCATTTCCGCATGGCATGAGCTCACCACTGTCCTTAGTGCGTGTCCTCAATCCATCTTTATGACCGTCTTTAGGAAACGGGATGACGGAAAATCTGATCCCATAAACCAAGTGGGAGTATTGATTCCAACCAACGCGGTTGACGCATTGCAAGAGGCTCTGGCAAACAGGGTCCGGCATGACGAGGAGCAACCCTACCTCTCTCAAGACACCCCAAATGATGATGATGAGGATGAAGATGGCGACGACGAGGCGGAGGATGATGAAGCTGTCAACTTTAACCCGGAAACGTCAGAATCCGATTACTCGACCAGTGAATCCGCTAGTGGGGATGATGATGACGGGTCAGATTGCGACGAAACAATTGACGATGAAACAATGTCCATTAATTCAGATGAGGATACAGACTAGAGAATGTTCTTGTAACTCTTGATGAAAGTCTAATTTTTAGGTTTATTATTATTATTATTGTTATTATTATTACCAATTGCCTAAAGATTGATTTGTTGAATTCATTAGATTGGCCAGTTTGTAAATTTTTATTGATTCTGGTCTGTATAGTCTACCCCTTTCAATTCATTTAATAAAAACGAGCAGTAAATCATTACACGATTTAATGTTTTTTAATTAATTCTCAACACATTTTAAGACTTCTCATTCAAATTTTTCACAGTTATTTTCCGGAACGGAAGTGAAAATGGAGAAAGTAAAGTTTTGAACGGCGTTCAAAAATATTAATTTAAAACCAAATTATTTTTTCACTTATAACCACACAAGATAATCTCGATCAGACAACCACTCACACATAATCACCATCACACCACACATAGATAATCACCGTCTGGCAACCACACCCAGATAATCACTATCTGACAACCCCTAGATAATCACCCAAGATATCAACATCGACACTATTCTACAGTGCAGTGCAAACATGTGCACACTAAACGAACAGTTTATGCTATGACACGACGATCTTGTTTAGTGCAAACATGTGCACACTAAACAAACAGTTCAAGACTCGCACTTCAATCTTGTTTAGTGCAAACATGTGCACACTAAACAAACAGTTCAAGACTCGACACTTCAATCTTGTTTAGTGCAAACATGTGCACACTAAACAAACAGTTCAAGACTCGACACTTCAATCTTGTTTAGTGCAAACATGTGCACACTAAACAAACAGTTCAAGACTCGACACTCCAATCTTGTTTAGTGCAAACATGTGCACACTAAACAAACAGTTCAAGACTCGACACTTCAATCTTGTTTAGTGCAAACATGTGCACACTAAACAAACAGTTCAAGACTCGCACTTCAATCTTGTTTAGTGCAAACATGTGCACACTAAACAAACAGTTCAAGACTCGACACTTCAATCTTGTTTAGTGCAAACATGTGCACACTAAACAAACAGTTCAAGACTCGACACTTCAATCTTGTTTAGTGCAAACATGTGCACACTAAACAAACAGTTCAAGACTCGACACTCCAATCTTGTTTAGTGCAAACATGTGCACACTAAACAAACAGTTCAAGACTCGACACTTCAATCTTGTTTAGTGCAAACATGTGCACACTAAACAAACAGTTCAAGACTCGCACTTCAATCTTGTTTAGTGCAAACATGTGCACACTAAACAAACAGTTCAAGACTCGACACTTCAATCTTGTTTAGTGCAAACATGTGCACACTAAACAAACAGTTCAAGACTCGACACTTCAATCTTGTTTAGTGCAAACATGTGCACACTAAACAAACAGTTCAAGACTCGACACTCCAATCTTGTTTAGTGCAAACATGTGCACACTAAACAAACAGTTCAAGACTGGACACTCCAATCTTGTTTAGTGCAAACATGTGCACACTAAACAAACAGTTCAAGACTCGACACTTCAATCTTGTTTAGTGCAAACATGTGCACACTAAACAAACAGTTCAAGACTCGACACTCCAATCTTGTTTAGTGCAAACATGTGCACACTAAACAAACAGTTCAAGACTGGACACTCCAATCTTGTTTAGTGCAAACATGTGCACACTAAACAAACAGTTCAAGACTCGACACTTCAATCTTGTTTAGTGCAAACATGTGCACACTAAACAAACAGTTCAAGACTCGACACTCCAATCTTGTTTAGTGCAAACATGTGCACACTAAACAAACAGTTCAAGACTGGACACTCCAATCTTGTTTAGTGCAAACATGTGCACACTAAACAAACAGTTCAAGACTCGACACTCCAATCTTGTTTAGTGCAAACATGTGCACACTAAACAAACAGTTCAAGACTCGACACTCCAATCTTGTTTAGTGCAAACATGTGCACACTAAACAAACAGTTCAAGACTGGACACTCCAATCTTGTTTAGTGCAAACATGTGCACACTAAACAAACAGTTTATGACATGACATGTCGATCTCGTTTAGTGCAAACAAGGGCACAATGCACATACTGTGCATGTGCATGTGCAATACATTGGGACCTGGGACTCATTTCACCCCGAGATGTATTTTGTTTGCATCCCCCAATGTCGCCCACGTCGCCCCGGGGTTGATATATACCCAGACCAAGTACCCACAATTCACAACGAGATGCATTTAATTCATTCCGAACGCGAACTACGAATTGTTTTTACTACTCTTTGTTCAACAATGAAGTCTATACCTTCAACTTCTGCATCTCGGATGCGCAAGTACAGAGCATCGCTATCGGTTGAAAATAGGGAAAAACAAAGAGCAGCAGACCGACTGCGAAAATCCCGTAAAAAAGAAGAGGCAAATCGTAAGGTGATTCCTGCAGCTAGCCAATTGGATATTGGCAATAGTAAAGAAGTGTTGAAATATTTTGTTTATAGCTTGCATTATGCAATTAATTAAAGTAGCGTAGTGTACATTGATTACAGATATCGAGATGGTAGCTGCCCAGGAAACTTCTACTTCGGATATTGAAATCATCTCTGCTGACGGAAAAACTTCTAATTGTACGAGATCAACAATTTCATCCTGTTATTAAGTAATTAATATTACATTCATTGTGTTTATTTACTTGAAGACATGGAGATTGCTCAACAAAACCGAGCTGCAGAACAGACTGAAGAGGAAGAAGCTGCAAGAAAGACAAAAATTGCTGACCGGCCGAGACAGGATCGAGTAAGTCAAGAGTATGCTGACCCATCATCCCTGGACACCTTGGACGAGATTTCAATTGCTGAGCATTACTGTGGTAAAGTGAATTTAATGTGTACCTCCTGCAGCTCCCAAAGTTAGAGATTATAGAAGGTGTTTACAAGAAGTGTTGTTAATAATAAAAGCATTGGTTTAAATGTTTATTCTTTGTTCATTTTATAAAGGTTTGATGAATTAATTCAATCAATAAATAAAAGTTTCTTGTGATTTTCGAACTGAAAACGCATTCATACATTATATTATTCAAAACTCCGCACAAATGGGGATTTTGTGAGATTTTTTCAATTTTGTAATTTGCCGCTAAAGCATCAATTCTAAATTTCTTTCACTTCCGTTGACTTTAAAGGGTGTCAGTTAATAAATCTCTTCAAAATTTTTCATTGGTGGAATTTTAAAAATCAACTCTCGCCCAGCGGGAGACGGGCTTATATGCTAGTCTCTTATATTGACAACACAAACCTATTCCACTTGATAATTTTTTTATAATCAAAACCTCTAAAGTGATTAAGTTTAAACTTTTCCGTCATTCCCTACACCAGTATTAAGCCCGTCTTCACCGGGCGAGAATTTTTCCACACAATTTATTTTTTTTATTTGAACCTCTGGCGTCGATGGAAATGAAATTAATTTGCGACGCATGGAAAATTTATGATCTATATTCTATATCTATATTATAAGCTGGAAATGTCTGTCCAAGGAATTCGTCCTCGACGAAAGTGAAAGTGGTGAAAGTAAAGTTTCGAATGGCGCGAAAATTCAAAACTTTTTAATTTGAGGCAAAATTATTTTTCACTTACAACCGCTCCCAAACAACCACACAAGATAACCTCGATCAGACAACCACTCCCATATAATCAACATCAGACAACCCCCAGATAAGCACCCATGATAACCACTCTCAGATAACAGCCAGTGCAGTGCATACCACTGCACTAACAGTTCCGTGCAGTGTGCACATGTTTGTGGTGTCATATCATAAACTGTTTGTTTAGTGTGCACATGTTTGCACTAAACAAGATTTTGGTGTCATATAAACTGTATTTGTTTAGTGTGCACATGTTTGCACTAAACAAGATCGAAAGGGGTTATCGGGGTGTGGCGGCCTGGTAGCGGTTATGTTGTGAGTAATTATCTGATTTTGGTTATCTTGGGGGCTATCTGATGATGGTTATCTGGTGGTGGTTGTCAGGGTGTGGCTGCCTCGCGGTGGTTATCTGGGAGTAGTTATTTAATGGATTGTCGTTTGGGTGTGGTTGCCAATGGCAGACTAGGCTGGCAGAGATGGCAGATCCAAGTGGGGTGCCAGATAAACTGCCAGTGGCACTACCATTGCCACTGGCAGACTGGGATGGTAGAGGTGACAGAGCCAAGTGGGTGACATTTAATTGTCCACTTTAACTTGTGTTGCAAATTGCTTTCACTTCCGTTCGCGTCAAATTGTTTTTTAAAAATAAATATATCCAAAATATTTAACTGGTGAAATTTTGATAATCTAATCATCTCTCGCCCGGCGGGAGACGGACTTGTACGCTAGTTAAAAAATAAACTAACTATACACTTTCTTATTATTATATTTTTACAGGGTAATAATAAAATTCTGTATGAAATGCTTGAAAATCTTTATTTGAACGGTTTATTGTTTCGATATCGTATCAATGCAGCAAAAAAATAACAAGAGGGAATAATAGTCAAGAACCTAACCAGCACCGAATTATATACAACATTTTTTTTGTAAGCCAACCTCTCCTTCTTGGTGGCCCGATACGATTGTACGATTGTAAGCAATCCTATATATACGATTGTAAGCAATCCTATATATATCGAATACAGAGCAACAAATAAAACTAGTATTGTTAGGCTAATGTAATAATGACAACTATTACAACGAGATAAATAAATAAGATGATGACGCTGACCAGTGTTGAACGTCAAAACCAGTTTGTTCATTCCCTCCGGAGGTAGATTTTTGCGTTGGTAAATATTTTGCCAAGTTTATCCATCCAGGTCGACGTTTTTTCTTCTTCATTTCCGTTTGTGTACACTTCCCGCTCCTCTCTATACTGTTCGACATCAACTATAATTTGTAAACAAAAAATATTCAAGTTTTGTACTATCCATGCATCTATCCATTAATTATAATAACAAATTACCAAAAGGAGGTATGGTCATTATTGAAATAGGGACTTCCAGGATATTGAGGGTAGGGCAGGTTTGATTTCCACTGGGGTTAAAGAATATATGGATGGCCAATTCTAAATTATGCGTCGCCTTGATTCGAAGAGTGGTTAGGGTGGAAAATTTTTCTGCATAGTTCACTCCTAATTCCACTGGACCTTCAACAACAAAAGTTGGGACCACTTCTGCCATGTTTACTTCAAGCTCCTTCAACACTGGACAAGATGGGATAGGCCTAATAATGCGTTGGTCTTCGTCAAAGTATTCGTATACAACCAATGATTCAAGTGTTTGGGCATTTTTGGTGATGAGTTCGTACGAGTCACAATGATTTACTGCTAATCTGGTGAAATTCTGTGGAAACTCCTTCAAAAACCGGTTACCAGAATCCAAATCAAGTGCAGTCAGATTTGGGAGAAGCTGATTTCTGGATCCATCTGAATTCTTAAGAGCTTCCAGGACACTACATTTATCGGAAAACCGTGATCCCAAATCTCCAACCTTGATTTCTTTGATTTGAGGAGAACCGATAAAGATTGACCTCAGAAACCTTTCTCCAATGTCCATATCTACCTGGCTGTCGAGTAGTTTAGGGATATACAATTTTGTCAATTTAGGAAATCCAATGTCGGTGTCGAGAAAAAACAAGCCTTTGACGGTACGCTTTCCTTCCCCAATCGAATTAAAGATTAGATGGATTTCTTCCAAGTCTGGTGAAAACTTTTTCAAAATAATCTTGACAAACTCCATGTCTTGTGGCACTTTGATCGCAAAATCGAGATAGAGTCGTCTTGGTTTGAGAAATGAATTTTTGAGCGAATTACAAACTTGATTAAAGTAGGGTCCTACAACATGGCGTCCATATATTTCAAAGTCTGCATCCCAGATCAGCTTGACGTGCACGGTTTGGATATTGGCCAGCCGATGAAATTCTTCTTCTAATCTTGCCAGCCTCATCAATGTGATCTCGTTTTTGCCACACCGAATATTCAACCTGAGGGCTGCTCTTCTTGTCAATTCCAAAGTTGATACGTGGTTCCAAACCTTGTCCACTGTTCGCAATGATTTAATGTCTGATATTGTTAGATATTTGCAGATTTCTCTCATTACCTGTTGGTTAAATATAAATTGTTACTTGCATTATAGTAAATCGCACCAATTTCAACAAAGTTGCCTCACCAGTTGATCAATTTTTATTAGGCCTGGCAGACTGCAATATAATAAAGATCAAAAAGTAAAATCAATGTGGTGAATCACAATCGAAAACATTGATAAACAATGTCTTACGCAGAAGGAGGTGAGGGATCGGGTGACTTTGGCTCTTGCAAAATTACTTTAGTCTCTTTCCAGTTGACAGTTGGGGTTGCAGTGGAAGCAGCCTGGAATCAACCAGTCTTTAAAAGTTGTACCTATTAAATCTTAATTTTTGCCGTATCTTCTTTTTAAATATTTTTTAAATATTTTTTTTCAAATAATTTTTTTTCAACACGTTATCTTCTTGATGACATTTAAAACTTGTTAAAAACAACTTTCAAGCGACTAAAAATCATTCATTCTAAACCTCTAAAAAAATACGCGAGTCTGATAATTATTTATTCCCAAATAAAACACATTCGTTATTTTTCTTTGGATTAAATTTTATTTTTACCTGTTTGTGAGACATGATGACGGTGGATTTAATCGTAATGTTGTAATGTAAGCCTTTAACCAAACTAAAAAAAATGTAGCCAAACGGTAAAACGGAAATGTGTTATCCAAAATCAATGATCACTACGGGTGAGCGCCTTTCAGCTGACAACCTCAGTATAATGGTTTTAGCACAATGTGAAATGTTAAAAATTTTTTGACTTTGTAATCAATCACCCAGTCCTGTGAATGGAAATTTCGTCGTCCAGTGATGAGTGAATATGAATTCAAAGTATTCAGTGATGTTTGACGTTAATTCCCGATGGATGTGAGGTTGGTATATAAACAACAAGGCGTAGTTGAGCGCCACGGAGGGCTTTGGGGTGATTGCATGGAATATGAAATAAACTAGGGGAAGAGGAATGACTCATGCAATGTATTGGAGTGAAGCTTATGGAAGAGCTCAGCAGCCAACCAGCGGAGCTTAATATTATTTTGTTCTTCCTGCAAATGGGCGGCTTTAACAGATCGGCCAAATAACTGTGTGCAGTTTCAGCATGAGAAAAAGCTGATGCAATTCAATCACCACCACATGGTTTCCTTTGTGTGGCAAAGAAAAATACAGTTCCAGTCCGATCGATTTTTAGCCAGCTTAAATTTCTTCAATTAATTATTTAAAAAAGTTACTTGCAATTAAACAGTGTACCCCTCGGCAGTACATGGTAAGTACACATATCTATTTGCACATTAAATTATATAATACACATGCACACGTACTGTAAACATTACTTGAGCAATTTTTTTAAATTAAGACATTAAATACATTGGGTTAATATTTTCCAGCCTCCACGTGTCCCTGCCTTCAAATGAAGTGACCCAGCCGTGGGGGTCACCACCACCAAGGACACTGAAAATAACCTGTTGTAAATATCCAAGGTGTGCTAAAACAAAACATAAAAATCCGGAAGCTCAGTTTTATCAATTTCCATCCCAGCCAGACAGGTCAGGCGTGTTAATAAATTAAATGGAAAATAATTTTGGCATTCTAATAAAGAATATTAAGTTGCAATATTTTCTATCGCTTCGATTCAAGAAGTGGTGTGAGTATTTGGATCTCGATTGTCAAAATGTTCCCCCCGTCTCCATGATTTGCGACCTACATTTTAAGGATGATCAGTTTAACAATTCTAAGAAGACTAAAACCATCCGCCCTTCCATCAAGATTTTTTGTGTCGCAGGAGCAATTATTAACAGTTTCTACACCCAGTGAAATTATCCGACCTAGTCCCAGTATTAAATTCATCCCTATTTTACCAAAAGAAGTAACATCAATTGCCGTGTCACCGCCGTCGTTGGACGTGTCGCAGCCGGAAATTAGTGGAAGCTTCGAGTCGCCTTGCTCCCCATCGTCATCCGTATCTAGTCCTCGACCTCAATCCAACATTTCGTCACCTGAAACCAGTCCAAGTTCAACCACGGACAACAAAAAAAGGATTCGCCAACTGCAACAGAAACTTCGTCCACCGAGGGTAAAAGTTCAGCCAGAAAGGATTATGGAAAGTCTGAATGAAGTTATGAATGATGCATACAGGACCAGTAGTATTAACGGGCAAAGGCGCCCCACAGGATTGATTTGGAAGTAGCCCAAAACTATTTTTATTGAATTTAACTGCAAATCCAGACATTCCTTGTATTGCTCGGTTTGTGAATGTCATGTCCATATATATTTTACTATTTCTGAAATAAACGTACGAAATGAGTGAAAATCTTTTTCTTTTTACAATCTCCAGATATGTATAAAATTAATTATATTTAAAGTATCTACGACTAAATGTCCCACTAATCTCGAGTCATTTCGGTTAAACTGCTGGCAGCAAGCGGGTCGCTTTTGCACAATCAAATTGATGTTTCTCAGAGCTACATATTGCACCTAAAAATAATTCGAGAAGAATAATTAATATGTTGATATGTCTTTGTTTGTAATACAACTCAATTCTTTCATAAATGGCCCAAATGATTACCTCTGGTTCTGAAGACAACAATATACCAAACAACATTAATTCTTTAAGAAACTTTTCCAACCATGCACGTTGTGGCGACGGTGATGACGACGATAAGCCACGTTCCGGCGGCTGTGGCACGTCTTGCGACGGCGGAGACACGCCGGGTGTGACCAAACGGGAAGGTTTGACCTCTTGCATTCAGACGTCTTTATGTGTCTCAGTATTTCCAATTAATTAATTCAGCAAGAACGCAATTCCAATAGCATTTTATGCATTTGTCATGTTGATAGTAATTACAAAAACCACTAGGGTAATTATTTTTACAAATTTAATTGTAGTGAGAAATGTAAACACAAATTTTATGCAAGAGAGCAAGCATATGGTGAACTGATTTGGAGCGGAGGAGTACATAAAGCATGGTGGTGGCTGGCTGCCAAAAAACTGAAGCAAAGTGGTGACGGTGGTGGAAAAAGAGGCTGGACAAAATAAAATTAGACGAATATTACCGGCTCTCGTGTCTCTCAATGCGGCTTCACCGCCCAAGTTACTACAGTTCTTCCTTTAGAATCTCATTTTCCCTGGTTGCGGGGGACGGAGGAGAGTTCGCATAGGGAGCTGAGGAGCAGGCCGGCCACCTTGTCCTCCTTGCTCTCCTCGTGCAGCAGGGCGGAGCGGACCAGGAAGGTGATGGCTTCCGAGCCCCACTCCCGCATTCGGATGTGCGGGTGACGACACACTTCCAGGAGGTGGTTCGTCAAAGGCCGCCAGTAGATTTCTACCCGGTCCAGGTTCACCAGACCGATTTCCAACAGCTTGGCCACTGCGAAGAGGGAAGGTTCCTGGAAAGAGGGGAGTTAATTTCGGATTATTGCACGATTTTCGGGAAGGGTTGGGATTTTAAGGAGTGAAATTTGTCCGAAAAACAAATTAAAATAACCTGATTTTCTCGGATTTTGACTTTACTTTATCTCAACTCGGGAAAGTTGAGATAAAATTATTTAATAAATGATATGTAATTGCTGATTTAATTTGAAATTTTGACAAATTTCTGACCCGATTGGAATAAGCGATTTCCATAGTTTCCTGGCTCAGATTGGTGAGGGCGTTGATGACGTGGTGGAGGGAGACGTCATCGAGTACGACGGAGGTCTCGATGAGACGCATGACGCCGCCGGACAGACAGCTGACAAAGTCGACGACGACGCCCATGACGCCGACCCCCCCCCCCCCCCCCCGGCGGAACTGGACCGAGAGCCGGGTCCTCCCAAGAGGGCCGACGACCCGTTCAATTTCGACGTCTGCGCAGACTTCATGACGCCCTTCGTGGAGGACGCGATGCTGAGCTCGGAAACGCCCGCCGTGATCCCGGACGTCATCTGCGGACCAGTCGAACCCCATCCGGTCGACGAGGAGGTCGAGTAGCTAAACATATAAAGAAAGAGAAGATTATTAATTCAGATATTGTATTTAATGTAGTTACGATACGTTGGTGGATTCGATTTCTCAAAATTGAAATGATGATGGTGTAAAAAAAAAACTGTGAGGAATTTTTGAAGAAGAAAGTTTAATTTGTAGAAAAAATAAAATTATGTGCAATTTTTCGATTTTAGTCACAAGAAAGATAAAAAGGATTCAGTTTTTAGGTGGCTATTTTCTCTAAAACAATCCGGCATCTTATAACAAATCTCATTTTGGAATTTTGTGAATGAAATCGGGCATTTAAAAAAAGTAAAAAACTCAATTTTTGGCATAAAATCCAGATTTGAAATGGAATCCACTTATTTCTCACCCCGATTCTCCCGAGGATTTGGTAATACTGTTGACACTGCTGGCGAGTGAGCGCTTGTTTGCTTCGAGTCGATGCCGAGGCGCGCGACCTGGTTGGAGATGAAGTCGGCGGAGGGCTTGGCGACGATGCCGCACACCCAGCAGAAGTGCTGCAGCGTGGTCAGCACCGTCAGGTACGAGATCAGCAGGATGGGACCTGACTCCAGGCACAACCGCAACACGGAATGCGTCACCAGCAAGTTCTTCTTCGTCAACATGACCGGCGTGGACTGCAGAGCTGGGAAAACACATGTGGATAAGGACATATCAGAATAATTACTATATGGTTTCTTGGAAATTTGTATTTAATATTTACGAAGAATTATTGGAAACTTTGATTTAGTTTTTTCGTAGTGGAATTTGTTAGGAAAAAAGTTTGTCAAAAGAATTGAAAATTTCCAAAAGAAGAAGAGTGACGAAATTTCCATTTTGTGGACTTACTGGGTGGTAAAGCGAGGGGACGACACTGGTCCCCACGACGACGACTTGTTGTTTGCCATTATCCATTTCCGAGTAGCTGATGGGATGCGCGGATTCGCCATGACCTGAGATAAATAATCCAACGGGTTAAAAGGGTGCATGATTTTGATAAGCAAGAAGATAACCTAACCACGTACCGATGGTTCCCTTGAGGACGGCGTAACCGTAGTGGGGCGGTAGTGTGGCGACGCAGAGAGATAAGACGGTGGACTCGCGACACTGCTGCAGCCCCGCCTTCCCGCTCAGCGTCGCCAGGTCAACTAAACGCTCGCAAATCGACTCCGTCATCCCGTCGTCAACGCTGAAAGGGTAGAAATGGAGGTTAAAAATGGAGAAAATATTCACGCAGGCATTGGTAACTTTGTAAAATAATTTTATAAAACTTTTACAAAATAAAGACACCCCCTTGATCTGAATTTACAAAAATTTGCAAGCTAATATTCCTTGGATATATTTGTAAAAATTTAGAGAATTTCGGGATTTTACTACCTGCGTGAATTGTGAATTATTTCTTTTGTAAACCTAGCATCCAATAAAAGATTGAGCGCGGCCAGAAGTCCGGGCCAACTTGAGGTGAGCAACTGTTTCAAAACTGCGGCATCTGTAAAAGAAGAATTATGTAAATTTGTCCTGATCTTTTTTCGCACGTGCAAAAATGACGTGAATCTGACTCACTTTCGACCTGTACTTCTTCCACGTCTCGCTCAATTTGGACCAAACTGAGGACAAAGTCGGAGAGGCAGGCGAAGGAAATTGCGACTCCGTAGGACTCACAGGTGGCAAAAGCGGGGGGTTCTTGCTTATCAGTGAGCTCCATCCTGGGGGGAAAAGGGTTCAGTAATTAAGGAATTAATTAATGCTTAATTTGAGATAAAAGTTAACGAAAGATTTGATGAAGAATTGCAGAAATGGACAAAATCAACCCATTTTTAATCATTTCTCACCTCTGGGAATTTATTTTAAAATTCTGGACCGATAATTTGTAGAACAGAGAGTTGCCAATTTAAAAAATGTACACTCCAGATTTTGACTGTTTAAGAGGAAATCTTAAGTTTCCCAAGCCTTTAGAAAACTTTGAAAAACTCCCCCCGTCACTTCCAAAATTCACCCTTCCTTCGCCCCCACCGCCACCACCACCGCCGCCGCCTTGATGGTAATGGTGAGACTGATGGTTCGCCTTGAATTTGGCATTCGGCGAAAATAACTTGATAACCGTGGCGCAAACGAGTTCCTTTAGGAGGAGGCTGAACTGGTCATACTAAATGAGGGGGGAATTAATTAGTTAGTTGGTTGATTAGTCGTATTTGTTTGTACTACCTTTTCAAACACGAATGGGAATCTGGCCAAGACGGTTTCGAGCAGTTGGAGTCCAAAAGTTTGGAACATTTGTGAAATACCAACCAACCATGTTGGCTGCTCTTTGTTGACGAGGAGGATAAGGTCTTGAAACATAAGTAGGCGTCACTCCCTTCAGGCGATAATTCTAGTAATTAATTAGTTAATTACTTATCAGTATCACTCCCAATCTAGTAAATATTTAAATTAATAGTTTTTCCACCTTCCGTGACGACTTTGTCCTTGTCGATCCTTTCAAACATGAGGGAGACGAGTTGTCGGACGGTGGTGCCGGCGGAGTGTGACGTGGTAACGTCTTTGGAGCAGTGGAGTCTGAAGCAGGAAGTTTTTTTGCGAGGAGGTCGCCCTTGACCGTGTCGTTGGTGGTGAGGAGGAGGGTGACGGTTTGGAGCAGCTTTAGATCTCCTCCATCCCCACTTCCATAGGAGGGACACGGCCGTCTCGTACACAGAGCTGGATAAGAGGGGAAAAAAGTTGGTTAATTCGAGGGAAAAATATAGTAGTTTGAAGGTGTGAATTTCCGGGGCTGTTACACCCACGAAAAGACGAAAATCTACATGGAACAGGTCACAGTCATTCGAAAATACAATGTTTTATGACAAAATACTGTAGTTTTTTTTTAAATCGTCAAAACAATGTATTTTTCCAGCGACAAAAAGTTAATTTCTTTATAAAACCTGCAGTTTCGTGTGACTGTTGCCTTCTCTACGTAGATTTTCGTCTTTTTGTGGGTGTAAAACCACAGAAATGTAAAGAAAGGTGCTCAAAATACTGTACATTTTTACAAAGTATTTTGAACACTACATTATGACTTGTTAATTATGAGGAAGAAACGAACCTTGACGATTTTGGGGTCCTTTGTGTCACACCCTTGAATGACGGGGTAGAGGGTCTGGTTGGTAATTGGGGGAATTTTGTGCCGCACGAATCTTGGCGATGGCCTCCTCGCCTTGACGAATCCGTGCTTCTTCTTCGTCTCCAAACTCAACGTCTTCAAGTCATTTTGTAACGCAAAGATTAACTTTTCCGTCGCCGCGTTAATTAATTTGCAAAGTTAATTAATTCGAGTTCACAACCAATTTTTCCTGTCAAATGGAAAAGTAGAAATTATTAGTTACTTGCTCAATAATTATTGTTATTTATTATTGCAGAACTTTAGAATGTGTTGTAATCACAATTAAATATTAAGTATGACTTGCAATTGAATTATTTTGTTTTGATTTTCACTTTTTCCTCTCCTGTTTTTTGCCGACTTATGTAGGAGGAGGACGACTTTTGAACTGGGAATGATAGTATTTTGTGGGGAATTTGGAAAATTAATTGGAACCAGACGGGGTAGGAAATTAAATGACATATGATCAATATTCAAGTGAGTGAGTGGTCGGTTTCACGCGTATTCGCATTCGCATATAAAATCCGACCTTGGCTCGTCAGCTGGCAATAAAAGTAGGATGAGGATGAGATGCGAGTGGTGGTGGTGGTGAATTGTATCACCTGACCAACCGAATTCAGTCGTTCGGGTTTTTTAACTTGTCGATCAGCCATGGATGTATAGGAATGGATGACGCGAGTAGAGCTCTTTGTTCATAGGTTACCTAACCTAACCTAAGGGATTATTTCTGGCCATTAAAGTTTGGGGGCGCCTCTATACTACGTGTTACAAATTATTGTAAACTTTTAGTACGGCAATTTTTATTTGGTGATTAGGCGATAAATATTTAGCAAACATGCAAATTTTGCCAAGTTTTTAGTACGCCGTCATGGGCTAGAAAACTGAAAAAAAATGACATGCAAAGAAAAATTCGAGAAATTAGATGGATATAAAATTGGAAAATATAAATTATGTGCTAAGAAATTGACGGGAATTGGCATATTAAGATGATCAGTCACATGGTAATAATTTTTTAATTTCACTCCATTTTTGCTGCAACTTTTGGTATTTTATCGCGTTCATTTAATTGTGGCAATTTGTATGCAGTTTTTTATGCTAGTAGTCGTGTACCTATTTCGTACCCATTTGATCTTGCGTGATGGTCATCATGTCGTCAAAAGTACTGGGTTTCGGCTCTCTGTAAGCCCAAGACGGGTCGCTACTCCCGTTCATCAGGTAACCAGCACAGGTTACGACCCAGTGCGATTTCTATTTATGATGAGGCCCATGACATCTTACATCGCATCTGGGCCCTGGTAATGTCAACATTACCAGACCATTTGAAATGATAATTTTATTTCTATTTATGAACCCACTAACCACTCGCCATTAGATGCCACTACCTGTCCCAGTCAGTATCTCATTTGGGAAATAATTTCCTTGTACTTAACTCCGACCAGAGTCCACTCAAATGAGACACTATTAATGACTTGGGACACCCTAATCTCGATGACTTCATTGCAAAAATGCAATAAAATACACCTACCTTTTTTAAATGAACTTGGGTAACTTTGAACATTGATGTATCGTTTGAATCTGAAAAAATCAATTAGTGAACCAATCAAATAACTTGGATATTCCGATTGAACCACAAAGATGAAGATCTGAAAATTGAATAAACTTAGATTAAATACATGTATGACCCTAAAATTATATAAGGGCTGGTAGTGGCATACTATGGCCGCAGTACGATAATACGTTAAAATTACTGAGGAATTTATGGAATTTTAATGAATTTGTATTTGATATCGGAGGGGGCACCACGGTCTGAAGGCTACGGGTTCCTCAATTATAACTGCATACACCGAGCTACCTAATGGTTTTTTTATTAGAATATTGATGTGATATTAGCTATCAAAGACAAATTCTCAATACAGGGAGAGGTAATGCAAATTTTATTGTCATTTTCAGTGATTATGATAAAGATGCATATTTTTATGAGCCAGTTCTGGTAATATGTGTTCCAACATTACCAGAACAATTTACAATGATTATGAGAAGGATGCATATGAATTGCGTGTTTCAGTGCTAGCATATAGGTAGCAGATAGGTTTTATTATTAGAGTAACAAAACGAGAGTGCGTGTGTATTCTTGTGAATATGATGCATATGAATTTGTATTATTTTATGAGCTAGTTATGGAAATGTATATTTCAAAATTACCAGAACAATTTTGAAAGAGTATGATGAGGGATGCATATGAATTTGATTGATTTATTTGCTGAACCACATGCCGTGATGGTTGTAGAATGCAGTGTCTGAATCAAGTTTTGTTTACTATTTTTGTGATAGTTCATAAAGCTAATCATGTTTATTTTGTATACAAAATATATTTTTTTGTAATTACGGATTGACGGTACAGGATAGTCAGTGTTATTAATTTTATTATTAATGGTAAGGTTTTATGGATGCTGATGTTTTATATTTTAACTAGCCTATAAGCCTGTATGGGTCACATGAATATTTTAAGGTGCAACTAAATGTTTTGACGTTGCTAAGGAAGTTTTCTAACGTCGCTAAGGATTTATTTTAAGGTTGCCTACGAATGTTGCAAATGATTTTTTTTTGACATTGCTAAGGAAATTTATAAATCATAAACATAGTTATAACCATAATTTGCATCAGAATGCAGGAATGTCACGGAAAATTTTAGGACAGGACGGACCTTTCGAAATTATATTATAGATAATATAAAACTAGCATATTGGCCCGTCTAGGACATTAACATTTTACTCTTTTTTATTTGGCAAAAGAGTACAATACATAAAGAGAAAGGTCATATTTTAAACGCAGATGACTACTATTTTATCAAAAACGTAGTCGAGTCATCTGATTTGACGAGATGCTGAACAAGCCTAAGTGCCGTTTTTTGCACTCTCGTAGTCTCTATGGGGGAGATCCGTTCCTCCCTACCAATTTTACGAATATTGGCGAGTTGTTGCTCCCAAACGACGGGTTTCACAAGACCCAACAGCTCTGCATTCACGGAGTTGCTCACAAACTCCACGACTCCTTCGTCAACGGCCAATAGGTTAGGGTGGAAATCCCACCTATTGGAGGCGTAATTTACCTATAAGTAAATCATACTAGTTATTTAATGTAGGAATGAGTAGAAAAAATATATAATTTTACGTACCTCCTGCAGCCAAGGATGTGACCAAATCAGGGCCTGGCTTATGCTGCAAGTATAGAGGGGTTTGTTAACCAACCAGTCCCTGATTTTATACAGTTTGTCCCTGCAGAGGTACAGTGTTTCGTAAACTTGCACATATCGAGGGTCTTCTGTGCAACCTGGGACGACTTGAAGATCAATTTTGGGTTTGACCCAAGCTGGTGGTGGCGAACAAAACAAGACGCTCGTAAGTTTTTTTTAAACAAATTAATAATTTGGATGTGTACTTACCCTTAGCTTCCGGCGTATCTTCTTCAAACAAATCCTCCGCTGTGTCGTCCTTTGCTTCTTTGGTCTCCTTCCCTTTTGTTCCCTTTTTCTTCCCCTTGGTTGCCTTTTTTCTTCTATTTGTGGTCTTTTTATTCTTCCCCTTTGCTACCTTCTTGTTTGCCTTTGTTCCCTTTCGCCGACGTGTTGGTGGTGGTTCGTCGGATGACCCACTCTCATCATCGTCCTCATCCGACGGCCCTGCAAAAGGTAAAAAATTGCTTTATCAATACAAAGTCTGGATGGCTTATATGCAAGTGTAAAAAATAATAATTCTTACGTTTCTTTCCCTTTTGCTGTTGTTGACGGGCAAGTATGTCTCCTAGTTGAAAAATATAAAACAAATTAGTCAATACAATACAAGAAAGATTACATTCATGTTGGGTTGTGACTAGTTTTTTTTTTTTGATTACCTGGCGATACAATCCTAGTTCTAATTGTAGGCTTTTTTGTGGCAGCCGGAGCCAAGGCCGCTGAGGTGGATGGCACCTCCAGAGCCCTCTGGTCCTGACGAACGCCTGCGCTGGACGATGGGCCGGCATCCAACATCATGGGTAGAGTTGGGGAACCGGCATCAGGTGTAGTGGATGTGGATGGTGTGGGCATTACTGCACATTAAATGACACGAATAAAAGGGTTAATTATAAATTATTGACCATGTATAAAAAGGACATACAAAATCTCACCAGTCACATTCAATGAGGTCGGAGGAACTGTACTGGTGGTTAAGGCAGTATGGCAAAGGTTGGGCATGGAAAGAATGGCAGTCCCTGGCAAATTCTTAATGAGAGGCTCCGCCTCCTTGAGCTCCTTAAAGTCCCCATTTTGGAATTGGGCAACCAATTCGTGCGGGGCTACAGGATTCTTGGCCTCCAAGGGGACCTTGGACACATGAGCTGTAGGAGGAGGGGTCCCAGTTGTGGTAGGAGCACAAGTGGTTGTTGCTGTTGTTGTTGTTGTTGTTGTTGTTGGTGGTGGTGGTAGTGGTCGTCGTCGTCCTTTGGTGCTCGTAACACTAACCGGTCGTTTCTTCTTTGGCATGAGGTAGGTCAGGAGGCAGCCAATGTACGTATCCAGCTCTTCCTTGATGTTGATAACAGCATCATAGCTGCCGATTTCCGGAAGGGGGCCCCTCCAGGTGGAGACAATCCCCATGGTCTGGAGAAATCGACAGGCCACGGTGTACCTACACAAGAATAATAAATACAACGAATACATAATAGTGAGTTTTGAGGTTGTCAATTTTACCTATACGAATTGTCAGGGAAGGCCATGTGACCCAGGGGGTTTTACGATTCGGTTGAACTTTCCCATAAACTTATTTGGGGCATCGTCCAACCAGGACACTGGTTTTGCCTTCCCCTTGGAGGATCTCAAACGAGAGTAAATGGTCTGTGCGAGTGGCCGATACACAGGGACCCTGTCCAAAAGGAAAATAACATGTAATGCCCGTTGGTTTTATATAAAGAGTATCAAACTAGACTTACTTTTTGCGAAAATCTCGTGCTTTTCGCTCCTTGTTGACGTTTTCCATGGAGTGTTTCTTGGCAAGTTCAGTCGCACTCTTTTCTGCCTCTTCTCTAGTGAAGTGGAACTCTTGGATAAAACCAAATTGTCTTGTTCGACCTTCCTCTGCAGTCAGAATCCTAACGCGGCTTCCTACTCGAAGCGGGCCAGTGGATGATGTGGGAACCCAAGGTGCATACGTGACCTTCTTGGTCACCTGAAATTCAGTCTGGGGACATTGCATTTTAATGACCAGCCAGTCTGTTGGCCAAAATTAAAACCATGAAAAGATTATTTATAACAGTTTATACACATTGACAGCGAGACTAGACTAGGTGTTGTGTTTAATAACCTTTTCGAGGAGGATTATTGAGATGATGACGAGGAGGAGGAGGAGGAGCTACAGGATTGGATGTCACATCCAATCCTGTCTGGTCGCCTCCCGTCACCGTCACTAGAGCAGAAGTACGGGTGGAGGTGACTGGAATTGGGTCCGGCAAACCCATTTCGGCTGGAATGGAACC